CGCATTCTTGACAAAATAACAAGCAAGGGACCATTATTTCTCGATTGCGCAATATGCAAATGTGAAACCGGGGGGGAGTGAAAAGAATAGGGAGAAAAAAGGGGGGACACAAAAAGTAAAAGGGGTCGGAGTGGAAAAAAGAGAAGGGTGGAAATTGGGGAGGGACGCGGAAAAATACGAGACGCAGACAGCCATTTTCTTTCCGCATCTCGCTTTCGCCTCAAGGCAAAATGACCACAGCCGTTTTGCTACTGCCTACTGGAATAACGAAATTCAGTCCCCCTCTCCCTTTTCATCCCTCCCCGCTCTCTTTCTCTCCATTTTTCCGTCATTTTTATTTTGGCTCGCTGAATGCTTCAACCGAGAGGAGTTCACGTGGAAAAGAGAGGGAAAAGAAAAGTGACCAGTCAGAGATGGCAATTAGATAGCGGGCAAAAAGGAGAAGGCGCCTCTCTGTTGCTCAAGGCGAGTAGCAAAAAGAGCCCCTCGCTGACCATGAACGTCCGCCACGCCCATTTTTTTTTCGAGAAAAGAAAACGAAAATTTTGAAGAAGAAAAGAAAAGGGGAGAATTTGAGATTGCCCAGCGAACAAAAAAGTTTTGGCCGCTGTTTTTCATCGTCATGTGCACTTTACTGAAAAATGTTTTGAAGCGAGGGGTCATTTTGATTACCTAGCGAAAGGGAAAAAAGTTGTACGATTTTTCTTTCTTGCTCTGGAAAAAAAGCATTTTTGAAAAAAAGATGATTCAGAATGTCCGTCAAAAAGTGTGAATCACATTCTTGGGGCAATATGCAAATATATTGTTGTTGTTGTTTGATTGTTGAGAAAAGTGTCTATGGGAAACAAATGATAGTATCAAAGGAATATTTTCGTTTTTTTTTTGAAAAGGAGGGTTCTTCATTTTGAAAAAGGACAATTCTGAACATTGAACCAAAAGTTTGGTTTTAGATTTTCCTTAAATTCCAGATATTTTCAGAAAAATTGGTGACTTTACTAAACATTTGAAGGATTGAAAGTTCGGAAATCAGTCCTTTTTAGAGAGCAGGAGTTTGATGCACTTTGAAAGGGATTAGACAGATTACCGTTTTTTTAATAAAATGAGGTGAAAAAAGACAATAAAAGTAAAAAAAAATATTTCCATATTATTTGGATCACTGTAGTCTCTCATGAAATAGTTCGATCAAACCACACAAAATGAAAAACACAACTTCGAAAAAAAATTTTCTTGATCATGATATTAATAGTCAAAAATCAAATTCACAGTCTAAAGTGGATTTCTCTGTTAGAGGAAAACCTTCCAGTTAAAAATAAATAATCTCCCCATTAAAAACAAACCTAGACCACCCAGTCAAATGATACCTCCCAGAAAAAACAGAACTCCCCACAATATCAGAAAGCATTCAATAGACATTTTAAGAGAATTAATCCAGTCTTAAAATGTTAAGTCCGGGGATAATTTTTGATCTCTTTCAAAATAATCTCAATACACTTTTTGAAGTACAGTAATCTCAGAAATATTGGATTGTTGAGCTTTTGAGAAAATATACAGTATCCCTAACTCTAGATTTATTTTTTTGACTTACAGAACAGAGCAGAGCTCAAATTACCAGAAAAAAAATTTAAAATAAAAATAGTTCCAAAACTCACCGATAAAAAAATATATATATCGCATGCACTTTTTCGTTTCATATCAGGTGAGGGAAAAATATCATTTTTCACATTTTGAAATTCATTTCAAAACAAAAACGACCGATAAGGATTACGGCGGGACTAAAAAAAGAAGAATAACTCCATGATAGAAAATGTGGAGCAAAACGCTATACAAGGATAATCTCTTCTCCTTCTTCTTCTTCTTCTTTCTCCATCATCAGATAATTCCAATTTTAATTCAAAAGGTATAAGGCTATGTGTGGCCGGAAAGAAATATGCACAAAATCAGAAACCTTATTAGCTTTGTTTATTTATTTATTTATTTCTGCTCAAATTTAGTTTTGTTCAAATTTCGTATATATTCATTTGGAAATATTCCGAGCCAATCAAATTATATCAAAATGACCTTTGTTATCACTAAAGAAAAGAAAAATTCAAAACTTTTATCTATCTACATATCAAAAAAATTGAACCAGGCGCTTATTGTTTACCCGAACGTGTCAGTTTTTTGTTTTTGTTTTTTGGTTGACTGGTTGGTTAGCTGGTTGACCACCAACACAAAATTATATATATATATTTGTTGTCTGTTGGGACGTGTGTTTTTTTTTCAATTATCTTTCAAGAACAAGAGACTGAAAATATATGGAAATGGGATTTTTTGATATTGAAAAACAAAGTTAATCCGTAGATCGAAAAGTTCATGAACTAAAAAAAACCTCTGGGGAAAAGTAATTTGAAAAATGTCATGAAAATATTTCGGAAATCATCTGATTTGACATTTTCAGAATTTCAGTTGATAATTGTATGAAGATAAAGGATTTGGAGGTTGACAACGAAAAATTGAACATTGGATTATTACGAAAAGTTTGGAACCGTTTATATATAAATGTTAAAATGATTAAGAATTTTTAGGAGGAACATTCATAATGGTTATTAGAGATTTTTTGCATTAAATCTGAGAAACTAGAGTTTTAGATTCTTTGAATGTTTCTAGAATCACTGTGCATGGAAAACGAAAATTCTGTGATCCCTTTGTTCGATTATTCTTTGAACTAGTATTGAAAAAATGTAACTTTTGGGAACGATTTTTGAGCTCTCACGATCAACATCTTTTCCAAAATATCCTAGAAACATTTTCAGTTTTCCTGGTCTCTTAAAATTTGCAAAACAAATCTACTTCATCTTCTTCTCCTTCGCAATTCCAAACGAAAAATCACAACGCAATTTGTCACATTCACATTTCAAGGCAAATTTTCAACCGGCTCGGTCGCTGCTCTTTTTTCTCCCACTGCAGCAGTATTTTCAAAAGAACATTTTCAATTATTCGAGAATGAATAGGAAGCAAAAAGAGGTGGAAAAAATAGAATGAAATTTCGAAGAGACCCACAGAAATTTCTTTTCCTTCTTTCTTCTTCTCCCTATTGACCACCCGTTGCGCCATTCCGAACACTAACGAAGTCTGGCAAAAAGTGAGGGAGTAGGAAAAGGAAAAATGAAATTTAGGTCTCCTATTTTCTCACACTCTTTTTATTTTTTTTTGCCCGCTTTCCCCGGCTAATTCCATTTTATTTTTGTGAAAAAACTGATTTTTGAAGTCAATTCAGCTAACGAGAGTAGAATTTTCGAACCAACCAGCCAAACAACAAAAACAACAACAAAAAATGCACGGGTTGTTGTTTTGGTCAAAAACAGACTATATAGTAGACTGCTGTCAAAAGAAACTCAATTTCAGATGAATTCATATTTATTTTTGAAAGAGAAAAAGGCAAAATTTAAAAATCACAGGGGATTATTTGAGAAAAAATGGGGAGGTGCAAGTTTTTGGTTGATGAATGAGCATCGGTTTTTTTCTTGGATGTTCGGAAAAGAAAAGGGTTTTCGAAAAAGCGAGGGAAAAAGAAAAAATTGAAAAATATTGGGGATTCTAAACATTTTTAATGGTGGCTGAAATAAATCGGAGCATGAAATTTTGAGAAAAACTTTGTTTCTATAGTTCTGAAAGTGCGAAAAATAGATTTGCTTTTTTTACTACACGAAAGTTCGAAATTATAAAAATTTCAAGTGTTTAGAAAAATGTTTGACTTGAAGTGAATTGAACCAACAAGACAATTTTATGAGAAGTAATGCTAGAACTGTTACATTGTAAATTTTCAGGCTCGTTCTAATTTTTTTTTCTTGATCAATTTGGTACAAAAATTCAAGCATCAAAAATATTTCGATTGGAGTTTCTTGCAAACATTTCTAGCATAAAAATTCTGTCAAGAAAAAAAATTGAAAAATATTGGGGATTCTCCTATCTGGTTCTAAGAATCTCTAGACTTCAAAAAAATGGAGAATTATTAGGAAAAAAACATGATGTCATGTTTATAAAATTTAAAATTACTGAATGAAAAAATTCGAAAACTTGCAGATTTCACATCGTGAAATGTGAAAGGTTTAGAGTCTCGGGCACAGCATTAATTAATGAGAGAAAGGCCGAGCTCAATTTTTTCGAACTCAATTTGCAAAACTGAAAAAATAATGAAGTTCCATAAAATTCAAGTTTTTATAACAATTGTTTTTTAATTTCTTACTGTGACAATGAAATTCATTAAAAACCGAAGATATTTTTGACAATGAAAAATTTTGCTTTACAAAACTTCTCTGCAAAAATAAAGGCGAAGGTTTTTCTTGCTAAACCTTATAAGTCGAATTAATTTAAATCCCAGAATCTTCTAAAAGTCCATTACTCTCAACCCAGAATAAAGTGCAAAAAGATCAGCTACATATGTTCCTTTCATGCATAAAACACTTCCTTGTTTCCAATTTTCCATATTTCAGGGATTCTTTTTGTTTCTATCCGTTTATCAAAAATTCTTGCAAAATGCACTTTTTACATACAAGTTTTTATCTCTCATATTTTTTGATCTACAACACCCAAAGGGCTAGTAGTTTTCTTGGAAAAAGATTTATTTTCAAAATTAATGGCTATTCTTTCAACTTTTTCGCTTCGGACCAATTAATAATTTGCCTCCCCTTTTTCTTGGCAAAAAGAGGGTGTCCACTTGAGATTGCGCAATGCGAAAAGCGAAAAAAGATGAAGAGAAGGACAGTGGTCAAAAAATTTTCACGAAATTTGAGACATTTTGGCCGCAGGGGTATCCAATGCATGTGAGTGTGCATTAATCAATGTTTATTAAATTCTCTCAGCCATGGGAATTTTTCGCGAAATTCAAAAAATTTTGCATTTTTGCAGGGGTTTCTATACATCAGAACTTTGTTTATTCGTTTTCAACATTTCTTTTCATACATAAAGAAAAATACAAGAATATTACATTTTAACAAAGAGTTTCAAGAACAGTTTCAGAATTATTGATTATTTACAGTTGGGATGGAACGCTTGTAAAGATAGCGATTTTCTCGGAATTTTTCCCACTCTGGTGGATCTTGAAGTTGGACAAAACCGAAGTAGCCATTATAGTCAAATCGATCGAAAGCACGTTTGAATCTGTGGAGATTGGTGTCTTGGCTGAAAATTTTGATTTTATTGATTTAGGAAACTATGTGTTTATTGTTCGGTATATAGGAATGTATCAGGTCATGTAAGCGGGGATCGTTTTTCCATCCCTAGTTTTTGGTGCACCCTGTTTTTAAAACTAGAACATTTTTTGAAAATTATTTGCTGTTTCAACGAATCGAAATAAGGCTAACGTAAGTTTGAAAAATTACGACTAACAAAAGCGTGAGATCCAAAAATCTCCGGAAATTTTTGAACATTGAATAACCCTATAATCAACATTTATTTTGTTTTCTCATTTAAACATTTTAAATCGTCAGGTCAGTTTAAAAAAGATATTTTTCGAAATTTTCAAGGTTCACCATTCTACAATTTTCCAAAATAGTTTTTCTGATTATCATCCATTCATCTCTGGCCAAGATTTTTGATCTGGCTGTTTGTGTAATTTCCTCGTTGTTTTCATTTTCAATTAATTACTCCCTCAGCTCACCTTTGAACTTCAGAAAACACTGGAAGCGCAAAGCAGCAAGTGCTCAATAAAACAATCTGAAAACAACACGATATTTCACTAATTAAATAATTCACCAACCTGCAAAAGTACAAGAAAAATCTTCGCGTGACTCATTTTGCTTCTTCTGATTTTGCTGGCCAACTGATACCACCGACCTTAGACAATTTATTATATACTCTCGGAAGGCGGAACAATTGTGAAAAGATTGGGGAAAAAAAGAATGGAATTTTTGGTTCCGAAAAAAACACATCTATAGACTGTTTTATCAAAGAGTGGTAGATGTTGAAAAAAAACCTACACCGATGGTAAAAAAATAGCGAAAATGATGGATCATTTGGTCATGGATATCGACACCTTTTACAACGCAAACAATTTTTTGCGGGTATTTCCGTTTTTTTAAAGACAATCAGTTTTTCATTTATCGTTAATTTCACATTCCTATTTGTTATGATATTTGATAGGAATATGGATTAGTTAAATGAAGAGGAGTTTTGAAAGTTGAGTTTCACAGAAAAAATATGCAATCAGGTTTTTTGGGAACTGTGACCGTTTGGAAAAAAAGGGTGTCTGTTTTTCAAAACTAGGTGATCGAGTGGAAGAATAGGTAAACAAAAAATCGGATGATTTTTGTTACAGTAGAAATGATTTCTATAACAATACTTTGAATGACGAGTTTCTGGATCGATAAAATCATTTATGAATGTTTTTGTGGTAGTTTCTTTAATTCGAAGTGGTTTAGATGAAATCTAAAAATGAGTTCGTTAATATGTCTTTCAAATAAGTCTGAATTGAAATATTGATTTAGGAATAATTGCCCGAAACAGCCACTCCGTAACATTTCCAGAGACAGACTAGGGAAACAAAAACACATTTTCGAAAGATATACGTATTTCCAACACTTTCGAACAAGAATTTCCGTATCTTCAAAATAATCATACACCAAAATTAATTTCTTTAGGGTTGGAAAAATTTTTCTAGTAGATGTTTTTAAACAAAACTGAATCAAAACAGTGAAAAATAAAATTTTCTTACATTGTTGAAATAGAACCTAACGATAGAAATGTTCCTATGGTCAGACAAAAACATTATAGCTACACAGTTTACACCAACTATACTGCTGCAATGAATATTTTATTAGGAATAAATAAAAACAACTTCTTGAAGGATTTTCTCTGAAAAAACCAGAGGCTGGTTCAACTTCAAAAACGAATTCAACTTGAAAATTAAAAATATGACCTCAAAAAGTTCGAAAACTACAGAGAATGACATTAAAAAAGTAACCCATGAAACAGATTATTTTCGACTGATAAATTTTTTTACAACATCTAGTTACGAGTAAAAAATAGTTGCTTTCAACTAAAACTAGGATATTTCTGGATTAAAAAACATAACGATTCTTTTTTGTTGGAAGAAATGGAATAATTCAACCTATAATTTTAATCAACAGAAAATTTCAAAAAGTGAAAAATAGCTTTTTCGAAATTGTAGAAAGTTATGACGTGTTTGAAATTTACTACCACGTTACTGTAGATTGAAAAATGTGAATTTGAACAATTTCAAAATATTTGAAGCAGAATTGAAAATTCCCATTCAGTTTGTTATGTTTTTATTCATCATGAATGTTAGGAAAAATGTTCTTTCAGAATTCTTGACCAAAAACTAAAAAACAAGAGAGATCTTACAAAAAGTGTGTTGGTGAAAGGCAAATGGTCAAAGTCTTTTGAAACAATACAACTATTGTTCAATTGGAAAAGTTAGTAACACGTGGAATGTGTTGAGGAAAAATGAATCATTGTTTGTGATACAACACATTTCTACAATTTTTTCTTCGGGATAAAAAAAAGTTTCAAATGTATAATTGAATAAAATCCTGTAAATTCTTAAAGGTGAATGAAAAATGGTAAACAATAATCTGAATTTCTAACATAGTCTCTAACCTGAAAACTGAAAATTCACAAGTCGCATTCATCTGAATAAAGTCAAATTTTACTTACACAATTAGAATTTCATTCAAATTTCAAAAATTATTGCAGTTACCAGTAGTAAAAAAAAACCCTGTCTAAAATTTAAAAGAACAAGCGTTAGATAATTCAACGACCAGGAAATAATTTTCCAATTCATAATTTTTGTTCATACGTGTCATACCAACACAAATGTTTCTTCTCGAAAAAATATTCGCATAAATGTGAGACACTTTTTGTTGCAGTCGTCAGCGCAGATGTGTTGATAAGTGTCGCTAACGATTTCAATTTGCGGCACACCCTCTCGAAAACTCGAAATTTAAGAATACAGTTTTGAAAGTGGTAACTCAGCACTTGTTGCGACACGTTGTTGGAGATCTGCTGCAGAACCCATTCCAACCTTCATAAAAAACCCATTCACTACAAATATATATTTTATTCATTGTAAATGCGAGAGAACCAAACAAAAACACGTAAGAAAATAATAGAAAATACGTAGAGTATATAATATTTAATATGGCAAGGATTATCGATGTGATAAATAAGAAAAAAAAAAAACAATTTGTCGTGAAGGAACTGTACAAAACACCTGATGACGAGAGACAAACATAATCTATTCCAATTCGACAAGAACCTCTCCTTCATCAACAGTTGATCCAACTTTCACATTGACTGTCTTGACTTTTCCAGTTTTTCCGGCGTGAAGACTGTTTTGCATTTTCATAGCTTCCATAACAACCAACTCTTGTCCTTCGCTAACCATGTCACCAACCTGGGAAAAAATGATTGATTTATTGTTAAAAATCTATGTGTTTGTTTTTTATTTTTAATAACGTTCTTAAATTCAACTTCTAAATTATACATTTTTAGAATCGATATTTTTTTTTTAATTCTGGCTTGAAAATCGAAAAATAAATCGGAGGCCTATTGAAGAGTTATGAAATAATTTTACATTTTCAGCTCGAAATCAAATCTGTTTTGTTTAGTTCAAAGTTCATTTCATTGAGAATTTTCAGTTCCACAACGATTTTCGAAATACAGTGTTCGTTTTCAGCAAAAAAACAATGAAAACTCACCTTAACATTGACATTCTTGATAGCTCCTGGCATTGGTGAAAGAATGACAGTTGAAAGATCAACCTTGGCCTTCTCCTTCATATATTGAAGATATTCAACAGCTTGTTCTGGCAAAACTGACACCTTGAATGGTGTTCCCTTGTACAAGACAGTGATTTCACCAGCGCGTTTGGCAACGATTTGAGTGACAACCTGAAAGTTGTTTATGCTCGAGATTCTCATACAATTATTCAAAACTTACGTGTTCTCCATCGACTTCCAAGTTGTTAGTTGGGAGGGCCAAGTTGGTATTTCCTTTGATAGAAATAGCTTTGCCGTTGACTGTGACATTGGCTTCATTTGGATTTCCATTCACGAAGGTGACTTCAACAGTGTTTTCTACTGGCTTGGCTCCTTCTTTAGCTGGGAGGGATGAGACAAATTTATAGGTCTTGTGCAATGAATCAACATGAGTGGATTTGTGTTTTTGTTGATTCAAGAATTGGTTGGCACGAGCAAGTTTGCGAGCATTGAGAGCTGAAGCAAATGCAATAACAGTGTCTTGCTCCGATGAAGTCAAAGTGGCTCCTTGGAATCCTTCTGGGTAGACTTCTTGAAGATATTTGGTGGTGATGTTACCAGAGCGGAAACGTTCTTCTTGAACAATATCACGGAGAAGTGGGATATTGTGAGTGACACCACGGATGACATAGTTATCCAAAGCTTCACTCATACGGTTGAGTGCCTGTTCGCGGTTGTCTCCATGGGTAACAAGTTTGCAAATGAGTGGATCGTAGTAGATTGAGATTTCTGATCCCTCACGAATTCCTGAATCGCATCTGACTCCATCAACATGTCTTGGTTCAACATATCTTGACAATCGTCCAACTGATGGAAGACCGAATCCTTTGTATGGATCTTCAGCATAAACACGAGATTCGAAAGCCCATCCGTTGAGTGGAACTTGTTCTTGAGTGATTGGAAGTTTGTGACCATAAGAAACGCGAAGCATTTGTTGAACAATATCGATACCGGTAATACATTCAGTGATTGGATGCTCTACTTGAAGACGAGTGTTCATTTCCAAGAAGTAGAAGTTTCTCTTTGAATCAACCAAGAATTCGACAGTTCCGGCCGAATCGTAACCGACGGCTTTGGCGAGTTGAACAGCTTGGTCTCCCATACGTTTTCTCATCTCTGGTGGAACAAAGCTTGATGGAGCTTCTTCGATTACTTTTTGGTTTCTACGTTGAATTGAGCATTCACGTTCGTTGAGCCAGATACCGTTTCCATGTTTGTCACAGAGAACCTGAAGTGAGAGAAGGATACACATTCATATTTTCAAAGGCTTTCAAAGTTTCTATTTATTATGCGCTATTTTTGTTACGAATGAAGGGTTTTCTATGCTACGAAACTTATGAAAAGTGCCTTAAACCGTATTTATACTTACCTGCATTTCAATGTGTCTTGGATTGTCAATAAACTTCTCAACAAGCATACGATCATCACCGAAAGACGAGGCAGCTTCTTGTTTTGAAAGTCTGTATCCTTCACGAGCTTGTTTGTCGTTCCACGCAGTTCTCATTCCTTTTCCACCACCTCCGGCGGAAGCCTTGATCATTACTGGATATCCAATTTCGTTTGAAATCTTAACGCACATATCTTCATCAGCAATTTCACCGTCGAATCCAGGAATCATGTTAACCTTGGCGGCTGTGGCGATTTTCTTGGAATGAATCTTGTCTCCCATATCAAGAATGGCTTTTGAGTTAGGTCCGATGAATTTGGCACCAGCTTGTTCGAGTTGAGCAGCGAAATGGGTGTTCTCAGACAAGAATCCGTATCCTGGATGGACCTATAACATTGGAATTGTAATTTTAAAATAATATGATATCTCCAGGTAAAAACTTACAGCTTGAGCTCCAGTTTGTTTAACAGCCTCAAGAATTCTGTCAGCACGAAGATATGATTTGGCAGTTGGAGCCTCACCAACACAAACGGCCTCATCGGCAAGTCTGACATGAAGTGAATTGCTGTCAACATCTGAGTGAACAGCAACGGTTTTGATACCCATAGCTCTGGCGGTTTTGATGACACGGCATGCAATTTCTCCACGATTGGCGATGAGGATTTTGTCGAATTTTGGCTCATTGTAATCAATTCCTACTGTGGTGTAGATTTCTTTTCCCTCACGCTGATCGACTGGACTGAAATGTGAAAAGATTGAGGGGAGAAGGTTTATTTCAGATGCTCAAGTTATGAACAAACATTTGAGAAAGGGTAGTAGTTTTTAGAATAAATTTGTTGTCTGTTGAAATTTTAGAATTGATTATCACAATTCGATGTGTGCCATTTTATTAGAAGTTGAGCAAAACTTGGTTTCAAATCACCCGCAAAAAACTCACACTCCAGAAGTGCGTGCTGATGCGGCAGACGCAACACCTTTGCGTGAAATCAATCGGAAACTGGATGCAGCGCGAAGCATGGTTCAATCTGCAAAAAAATACAATTTATTCATATTTTTGGAAAAGTACACAAAAAATGAGACAAAATAAAATGCTGCTGCGTGCAAAAGCAAAACTAGAGAAAAGGGACCTTGTCAGCGCAGTTGGCCAAAACGACAAAAAGAAGAGAAAGAAAAGGAAAAGAGAGAAAAACATTTTGCCTTCAAATCGCATTTTGCACGTAACGTTTTTTTCGGCCAAGAAAATGAAGAATTAGAAGAACAAGGCCTTGTTGTGTAAGAGAAGAGAAAAATTGTTTCTTATCATTTTATTTTCAACTCTTTTTCTTTTTTTCTCTCTGTGTATTTTTCGAGATAACACTGTGAACCAACGGTGTTCATAGATTACTTTTTGAAATTGGATCAAAAAAATATTAGGAAAATATTTGCTTTTTGAGGAAAAAATAGAAAAAAACCTGAACGAGAAACGAAAGAATGAACTAAAAAACGCGGAGAAATCAATAAAAAAAACAAACACAATTGCAAAAATAAATGAAAGGGGGAAGGACTGATGCTAACACCAAATTCAGGTCAAACTAAAGTCTAGTTGTTTTTGTTGTAGTGGTTTGGGAGGTCAACTATACTTTTTGCATAAAACATAATCTAGTATCTAGTATATATAAAATAAAAAAGAAGAAAATTGTAAACATCACGCCATAGAAAAAGTGTTCATTGATTTGTTTTTTTGCGCGGGAAAAAGATTTTTTCTAGAGAAAAAGTTTATTCTTTTTTAAATAAAAGCATAGGAACAAAACACGTAAAACACGTATATAATAAAACTTGAAATTAAGAAATATCAGAAGAAAGTGAGATGTGTTGTGGACATGGATTAGTGGCTTTTTTTCTGCATTGACGCGTAGTTGGAGAGAATTGAGAGAGATGGAAAACCGAGAATGAATGTTTGCAAGAACCATTTGGCTGAACTGGCGAAGCTGAAGATTACGTGATTTTTTGAAAAAAAATGTTCTTGGATTAAAAAAAGGTCAACTTGTCAATTCAATTTACCTACCTTAAATTGGCGCGATTGCAGAGAACTAAAGCGTAGACTGCTTCACCAATATGTGCAACTAGAGCGAGGATATTGGTAACGACTGTAACACCATGGTGATTGATTCCAATGTTGGCAGCGATTGGACCAATTACTGGGATTGGTTGGAGGAGTTTCGGTGAAGCATAGGCTAACTGGAATTTTTTTTTATTTTTGAAGCCGTCTTGTGAGGTTTGCGGTTGGCCTGGTAATGTTAATTTTTGCAATAACATCGATTTTTCATTTGTTTAATTATTTTTGCTGAACTAACTAACTTTCAAAACACCTTTCAACTTCTGGATAAGCTCTGATCTACTTTTTCTTTTGAAACTCACATAATTGATGACCAACGCTGGAACAATAATCATATACCAAACAAAATTCGGGCTTCTAAAATAATCTGCCATCTCGATCAATTTCAGCTTACAAAAACTTGGATCAGTTGGTGTATATTTGATACCAAGGTAGTTTCGAAGTGAGCGAAGCACTTGATTTGAACAAAAACTGAAATAAATCCGAAGTTTTTATATAAAAACAACAAGAAAAAAGGAAATAGACAAGAAATTCGGCCGAGAATAGATAAAATCAAGAGAGACGCAGAGAAATATAGAACAGTTTTTGTTGCATCTACTTGTTTGTTTGTACACAATATTTTGTTATTCAGAAGAAAAAAAAAGAAGAATATTATAATTGTTTTGAGAAAATCAGAACTGTCAAGGACTGTTTGATAACATAACATAATATCACATCAGAACTACAATGTAGTCTGCTGACTGAAGATAAACTCACTTTTTTACAAATGGCACTAGGGCAATATATGAGGGCACAAACGCATTGATTTTTTCCTTCAAGATACTATCAACCATACGCCTTGAACAAGATTCGATACTCATAAAAGGAAACCAAGTGCATGTTGGACGCATATTGTTTTCAAGAATCATTGGGGTTCTTGCAAAATATGGATAAAGAGTTGTGCATTTGATACCTTCAAGACCGCGGTCTCGAAGTTCCATTTGCAGAGATTCCATGACACCTCGGATTGCAAATTTACTGGTGCTAAAATGTTTAGAGTTTGGTTTTGCTTTGTTGAGATTTTTGAAAAAACCAAAGTATTTCAGATTAATTTGTTTTTAAATTTCCGACATACGTAAGTTTCTAGAAAAAATTCGGACCAATACTTTTATCGAAATGTGAAGAATGTTGATAGGTTTTATTTTCGAGTAGATTAAAATTGAAGTTTCCCACTTTCAAATTTAACAAATTTCTCACGAACTACTTTCAAGTCTAACAGCATATTACCCACCAATAAGATAATCCCATAGTTTCTCCAGACCAGCCAGCAATAGAGCTCACACAAACAATATGACCAGAATTAGTTTCTTCCATTTTCCCAAGAAATGTTCGGATTGTCTGAATATTATTTTGTTTTTTGTTTTTTATATGAATTTTTCTCCAAAAATTCAAACTCACGTTAATAGTTCCAAAAATATTGACATCTAGGCATTTTCTCAACAAGTTATCCGATATTTCCATAAAACTTGTGAACGATAAAATAGCCGCATTACAAACAACAATATCAGGAATACCTAACTCTTTTTCAATCTCTCCAGCAACTTTTCTCATTCCCTCAACATCGCTAATATCAGAAAACCAGAATTTTGCACAATTACCCTCTTGATGAATCAGTGTCTCGGTTTCTTTACCGCCTTCCTGTAATTACTGTAACTTGTTACAAAAATTATTATATTAGCTAACCTTATTTACATCAATTAGTGCGACTTTTGCTTTTCGGCGAGCGAAATTCAAGGACATCGCTCTACCTAGACCTGATCCGGCCCCAGTTATAACTATAACTTGGCCTTGAACATCCTGAAAATATTTATTGTGTTTTGAATTATTACTATGTAGATCAAAGATTACCAACTTTTTGACGCAAATTTAAAAATCTATAAATATCACTAGGAATATCTACAAATAATAAACGCAATAAAACACCAAATGTGCTCCATATTTTCCAGCTCCAACTTGTGTACATATATGAATAATTAGAATTAAAAATTATATAAAAAAATAATTCTGATCAAGAAAAAGATATGAAATTATATTCAGATTTAGAATTAAAAGTTCAAAAAAGGTGGAATAAAGTCAATTGGAGGGATAGGACAAAATAGGTCACGGCCAGTCAAATGTGTCTGTTTTCTCTCTTTCTGTTTTACAATTTTTCAAAACAGAACATTTATTTGGTAAAAGTACAAAATTATTAATTGAAATATGAAAACTTTTTTATGTGGAAAATATTTTCACAAAATTTTGAAAATTTTCAGAAAAAATTAAAAAGTTTGTTTTCTTGTTGCAAATTTTCAATGAAACATCAACTTTTGACGATGTTTCTACCCAAATCATAGTTTTCGCTAGTTTCAAAACAAAAAATTTATTTCAGAAAAAATACAAAAAAAAACTTATAAATAACAATTCTGGCAATTTATTGTTGTAACTCATATTCATCTTTGATGCTTTTCTCGTGAACCTCATCGAGCAACGGAGTCTTGTTGATTTTCACTGAAAATTCAATATATTTGGTTTTTTCTTCACTTAAAACCCTTTCTCAAAATTTACTTACATCCTGGTGGGTCCGCAGTGATTTCATATTCATAATCTTCATCTTCTGTTACACCTTCAGACTTTTCTTTTGGTTTTGAATCTAGTTTTGACGGCTTAATGATTACTGATTCTTGGGATTTTGAATCTCCAGAATTTATGGAATCATTTTTCGAATCCAAATTTGTTGAAATTTCTAAGTTTGTAGATGCAACAGGAGTCAAGCATTCCTGACAACCAAGAAGATTATAACACACTCCACCAGCCCAATTAGAATAATCATAATTAGATGGATAATATGGATATTGTTGTGATGGCACTTCAACATGCATGTATGGATAAATTTGTTCATATCTACCAGCATATCGTCGATAATTATCATAATATGCTTGATAGTAATTATAATATGGCTGTTGCGCTATTTGAGGTTGAGGAATTTGAACTTGTTGAATGACTACGTTAGGGGTGGATGAGATGAGAGTTTGTAAACCATAGGTATCAATATAATCTACAGATATAATTAAGATTTTCGAGTGGCGAGTGAAGACTTGTTTTGATAATATGGAGGAGATTTGCTGGAAAAATATGAAACTTTAAAAATTTCAAAAATGGGGAGGAGTAGGAAACGTTAAACGTTTTATTTCGATTTCACTATAAGCTGGAAGTCCCACCGAAAAACTTTTAACTAAACTGTCGTTACCTCAACATCGCTTTTTTGATTTTGCTCTCCACACCACGAGCCGCACGGCAATTGATTCATTTTTCCTACCGCTGTCAGCAAATCACTACTTCTTCCATAGGCTCCCATTTCAATTATACCTTTTGGTTCACTCAAAGTGTCATAAAGATAAACCGCCATTTGAGAATTGGACTTGGTTCTCCCGATATTCAACGAATTTGCTATTTTTTGCGTCAGACTTTTTGTCATCTCCCACTGAGTATCTGATAAATAATAAGTTGCTTTAATAATTAGTAAAATATCTGATGGTTGATCCGGACAGCATAATATAATTGAAGCTATGGCAAATAAAATGATCTGTGGTCGCATTTTTATTTTCACAAAAAGTGAGAATTACAAGAAAAAAAAGATTTTTTGTTCTATTTATATATATGGTTTTTTTCTTGCCTTACCCCCAGGCTTTACCCAATGTCAAGAACATTAATTAATTTTTATTATTATTATTATTCACACCCGTCAAGTATCAATACACACTACATACACATAAATAAATAAAAACTATAAATTATTTGGCTGTTTGAATTTTTCCCAGAATCTTGAAATCGGCCTCATTGTTTGATAGATTTGATCGCTGAATCGACTTCGACGATTTTGAATTGGAACTGGAGAGTCAATTATTCGAGGCTCACGCATTTTGACAACAGAAACTTGAGGGATTGGAGTTGGCAATGGAGCTAAAATTGGAGCAGGTGACTGTTCAATATCTCGAAGATTTTCAGAATCGAGACTTCGTTTTGGTGCAATTTTTTGACGAACATTTTTATATGTTCGGAGACATACTAGTTTCCTGGAAAAATTCGAATTTTAAAAGAATATATTTTTAAATATTGAAAGAATGTTTGGGTCAGTTTGTTTTCGAATTAAACATTGGGAGAGAAGTATACAAAAGCATTTGGTATGAAAAACTGGACACTGGAAGTTTAGAAAACTTTTGGCCAAAAAAATTCACATTATTTCAAAATAACTTACCATATTAACAATAATATCATGAACGTGAAAAGTGCCAAAAACATTGGTAAACCATTTTGTAAAAATGATTTCTGAACAACAAATTTACAACGAACAGCATCACATAAAATATTATCACAAAACCTGAAAAATCTCTATTTTTCTCGTTCCCATTTTCTTTTTAAAATGTACCTTGCAGGTCCACAATCACAATCCTCGTTTTTCTCCAAAATACCATTTCCACAAATGGGCAAACTTCCCAAATTTCTAACCATCTCATTTGTCGAATTTCCTCTTTTCAAACATGTTTGAGTTGCCAGTTTCTTTGTCATCTCTTGCACACTGCAAGCAGGGAACCCTCTGCAAAACACACACTATTTTTTCCGTCCCTGTGAGCCGGCTAAACGAAGAGCATAGCGGAGCATCGTTACTCACCTCAATTTGAGACATTTTTTTGGCTCGATTTCCTCATTGCATTCGCAGTTTGTTGTTATTTTGTGTGTTAGACCTATGACATGAGCAATTTGATGCATTAGAACTAGCGCATTGTTCATTGTGGCCTCAGGGTAAAACTGAAAATAATGATATAGTTTATATCTTTGAAAAAAACATTGGTTCTATGTCTTCTGGTAATTTTTTTTTTTCGAAAAAAAATCCTTGTTATTCGTGTTTCTGTAATATTTTGATCACAATTTATGAATATTTTATAAGCTGTAAGATTTTTAGAAAATCTGAAGCTCACAATCAACCTTTTTTTGTTTGAAACATGTTAGTTTCAAATTTCCAAAGCCTTTCAAAAAGCATAAGATTTCCTCAATTATAAAAGTCCATTTTTTCTCACAATGTTTGAAAATTGACCCCAACTTACCCCTGAAATAATCAACGAATTCTCTGAACACATTCCATTCGTGTATGAAATTCCACCTTCATAATTATGGCGCAACAAAACTGCAATATCATGTTTTGCCAAATTTCTCTGCTCCTTTCTCCAAATTATAAAATCATCTAGACCCATATTTGTTCCTTTAACAGGCACAAAATCTATCAAAACTAGTCGAATATTCAATTGATAAAAATATTGGTTAATTGTGTGAAGAAGAGTAATTGTTGCTGATTTAACTCGATCTTCGTCATTTTTATAATAGCCTACCTGCAAAATTTGAAAATTGAAATTTGAAAGTTCAGAGAACAGAAGATTAAAAATTGATAAGACAGTAGGATTACACATACCAAAGACGAGTCAATTCCTATCAAAAATTCAATGTGCCTCACAATTCCATCAGTTTTTACATCACCCCAATCACTGATTTCGGTTTCCGTTTCATCGTCCTATAAAAATTCTTGACATTTTTTGATACTTTTTTGTCAAAATTTCGAACAAAAATTATTCCGAATTGATGACCTGTGATCATAATTTTTGTATAAGAAGTTTACATTGAACTTTTTGAAATACTTTTTGTTTATTGTTTGTTGGTTTTCTGTGCCGGAAATTGGACAATTTTTATTGATGATTATTTTTTCCTTTTGGCTTTTTTTCGGAGGATGTTGGAGGTTTTTGATATTTCAGAACATTTTAATAAAAAAATAGGGTCTTTCAAAAGTATTTTTCGTATGACTCTCCTTACTCTTTTTCAAAATTAAAAGTTAGCATTTCATGTTTTTTTACATTTTCCTAGAACCCTATCCCGCCCTTCTCCCTCCCCACCAAAAACTCACAATTCTAGTATTCAAAAATCCTGCCGATACATTTCTTACAACAAAAATCAATAAAAACCATAACAATGTCATCCATACAAAAAAATGATGTTTCCTAGAAAAATATGAATCATTCATTTCAAATAAGTTTATATATATAAATATCAAAAAACATATATGATGAATGAATGATACAGAGAAAATGATAAGAATACATAGGAAGACGCAAGAAACGAAATACGAAGAATGAAAAAAAACATGATTTGACCGATTTCTATCGAATTATGAGTCAGCGATTTTATTGAGGAACACATTCATTTTTTATTGTATGCGTCTAATAAAAGAAGAAGTGTAACTGATACTTTTGTAAAAAAAAGTTCTTTGGAAAACGGAAATTGCACTAATGCGCGAAATAATGGGAATATTTATTTTGAGAGCACGAGATGTTTTTATTTGAAAATGTTCTGGTCTTGTTCATCATCAGAAAGTAAATAATGAGAACTGTTTGGTGAAAAAGGATATATCACTTATTAGAGGATTTACAAAAAGATACATAACTGTTAATTTGAAGTGACGGGATTTTTGTTTTGTAAACATCACTTTTTTATCAGTCTAATAGGATAAATGTGTAGAAACGGTGATTAAAAGTTGAGATGGTAACAAATCAGAGAGAAATCAAGCAGGATTTTGAAAATTTGAACTAGAACGACTCTTGAAAGTTTTTGACTATTTCAAGAGCTTCGAGAGTTTTTTTGAGAACTGAAAACCCCAAATTGAAACAATTCAAAAGATTTGAAAATTTCCAAAGAGATTTTTTGAAAACTCTAGAATTGCAAAGAATGTAATGTACTTTCCAAAAAATCCCACATTTTTGAGGCCTGACAAAATTTTGAGTCTGGGACTTAAATCGACGAAATTAAACGGAAAACTAACTGTAAGAGATTTACAAGTTAAAGTGAAATATAATTGAAAAACCGAAAAAAAAGTTTTGAAAAGATTGAAGTCTAGCGGTTTTGAGTGATAATTTACATACTGTGGACATAATAATTTGGATTTCAATCTTATATTCCAATACTATTTTTTTTCAATTTTTAAAATACTGTAGAAAAATTATTATCATTGTCAATAATTTTTTGTAAGGAAATTTCATATTATTAAAAACCAATTGAACTTTTTTCTAAACAATCAACAAACAGCCAAAGAAAATTCAAACTCAAATTTGAAAAAGTGCCCACGTTTTGTACATAAGTCATAATTTTCATTTTTGTTACTTGTTTCAAATTTTTATGATCTGTTCAAAAATTCCCATACAATTTCAGACTTTTGATGAAAATTGTATACCTAATAACTTTCTCATTTCGCAACAGACATCTGTTATTTTGAACTTGCCTTATTATTTAATAGACAAACAAAAAGCCAATCACTTGAGATTTCGCGTCATTTTTTCTTCATATATAATATATTTTTTTTTAACTATCAATATATTCCAGCTCTTAATATTTTGCATCATAGTTCTATTTTTCAAAAAAAAAAGATAGAAGATTTGCATAATTTAGAAAAAAAATGGTCACTGCCAAAAAAGATGCATCAGACACTTCTGAAGCAATGCTACCGGTATGTGATATTTTTTTATAATTTTTCTCCCAAAAAATCAAGAGTTTTAGGTGGCAGCTGAAAAAACAGCATGGTTTTCAATATATATTGCTGGAAGCTGTGCGTTCATTCAAGCAACACAGTTTTCCATATTTTTTGCGTCAATGTGGCCCTATATTCTAACACTAAATCCAAATGTGACGCAAAGTAGTTTTGGAATTGTTGTTGCGTTGTACAGTTTAGCTCAATGTATATGCTCACCGGCTTTTGGGTATTTGAGTAATCAGATCGGACAGGTAAAAATATGATTTTTTGATTTGAAAATTGAAAACAAATGTTTTCTTCAGGTCCGGCTTCCCTTGCTGATAGGTTTTTGTATTATGGCAATGGGTAATATCAGTTATTTGAGCTTACAGTTTCTATCTTCTAATCATTTATATGTAATGATGGCTGCTAGATTTATTGCCGGAGCTGGAACAGGTAAAACATTTTGAGAATTATTACATTTGAATAAGTTTTAATGTTAGAAAAAAGTTCCAAATAAATTTATTAGTAACAGTTTGAAATTTGAAAAAACACGTCAGATTCTCACATTTTTTCTAGGAAACATGAGTCTACTTCGAGCCTATGCTTCATCAGCTTCAACTCTACATGATAGATCGAGAGCCATAGCCTGTGTTTCTGGAGGAATTGCATGCGGAAGTATGATTGGTCCTGGACTTCAAATTATATTCTCACCACTTGGCGCGGAAGGTGTCACTATTTTGGGATTGAATATTAGTATCTACACATCACCTGCTTTGCTATGTTTATTTTTGAATATTGCTGGACTTTTGGTGGTCAACTTTTTGTTTGAGGAAAAATATATTATTCATATGGACAATGATAAGAAGGTGAGGGAGTTTTTTAAAAGAAAACATTTAAAACATAAAAGGCTGCTCCATCAAAAAATGTGACACCTAGATTCTTATTCAAAAAATACCTAACAAAAGAAAAAAAGGAACCTAACATGCAAACAAAATTCAAAAAAAAATTTTTTTGAATGAAAATCAGAAAAAATAGCGTCCATTATAAAAACGATGTTGAAATATGTTGATCGGAAGGAGGACAAAAAAGTAGCCTCGCCGGGCGGCCTGGATTTCGTAACCATTTTTTCCCTCCATTTTTTTGCAGCAAAAAAACAACGACGAACACGACGACACACAAAATTCATCTAGTGGAAAGCTAGACAACCCGGACATTTATGCACTACTTGTTCTTGTTGCAACAAGATTTTCGCAGATTTTTTTGATTACTACTATTGAAAGGTATCGAGAAATTAGTAGTTTTTATGAGTTTGTAACTTTTTCAGTATTGGATCAGCATATTCTATGATGATGTTTTCATTCGAAAAAGAAGAAGCAGTTACAATAAACGCGGTTTCACATACTGTTAGTGGAACAATTGCTGCAACTATGTATATCAGTTTTATTTTGCTAGATTTGAGGAAATAGTAAGTATCTCGAACATTTGACATTTCAAAAATTTGTTTTCTAGCCTTCGAGCCCGAATACACACAGTATTTGCATTGGTGATTGCAATCGTTTGGTTTTTGGCAACCTATCCCTATGCTTTTTTACCAAACAACGTGAAATTAATGAATAATGGAAGCGACGCAGGATGCGACATCTTAAAATATGATTGGTGTTCTGATCTACCAGCCGTGTCACCTTGGCCATTTTACATTGGAAAAATCATTTCATTCAGTGTTGGCTTCTCTTTGATGAATATCACCGCAACTACTTTATATTCAAAAGTAGTCGGGCCAAGACCCCAGGGAACTTATCAAGGAATATTCCAGATGGCTGGAAGTTTTGGAAGATTGGTCGCTCCATTATTAATGAGTACTACTTATTCTTGGTATGGACCAGTGGTCCCGTGGCAAATTATTCTTGTAGAGGTAATTTGAAGGTTTTTGTTTTGACAATGTCAACTTTTTTTTTCAATTTACAGTTCACTTTTATCATTGGATTATGGGTAGTTTTCCGACATCGACTGGTTCCATTTGAAAAACGGATAGATATTATAAAAAGTGATATAGAAAGTTTTTGATTCCATATTTTCTCCATGAGAAAAAACAATGATAAAATAAACATATTTATTATATTAGTCTTCAGCATTTCCAACAAATCGATTGGTTTTTAAATAATCTGGATCAGACGAAACAATTTTCGCAAGCACAAAAGAGTGAAGATTGAAAACTACCGTAACGACATCTTCACATTCAATATCTTTCACCTCGATTTTGTTACTGTTTAGAGATCGATCATCATTGAATGAAAGTTGAACACATAATTTTCCATCATCGGCAACGGCGTTGAGATCGCGGAATCGATATTGCCAGATGTAACTCTGAAAAATAGAATTATAAATGTTTAGTTAAAGTCGAAAGTTACCTTTGTTGGAATATCGTATAAACTAATTCCTTGCTTGATATCAAAAACAATTCCACTTGGTCTTCCTTCAAAATTGCAAGCAAATGTTCGACTCTGAAAATATATACTATTTAGAACATTATTCCTCCAGAACAAACTTCGATACATAGTAATTATCAACTATTCAAAAAATCCTACCTGCATTTGCGAAACGGTATTGTAAACAGTTCGATAATAAGCCTGCTCAAAAAGATCAAAAGCACTAGCCGATTCAAATGATAAATAATGATTTGCAATTTGCAAAGGTGTCTCGATCAAAAAACAATTATCACGTTTATCTCGTCTTGGACTACTATTTAGCACTTGTTTCACTGCCACGTCATAGCATTTATAAAGATAGATACATTTGTTGAGATCTTCAGAGTTCAGCTGGAAAATTTTTAAGGATTTGATGGATCATTTTAAGAATTTGAAAAAAAAACATTTGACTCACTGGTGGGACATCAAAAAAACAGACATCCGAACCTTTGAGAATCAGAAATCTTGGTTGCCATCGGATTTTCAATTCTTCCTGATTGTCATCGTCTAAATATTCATTGACCCAACCAATGTAGCTTATCTGAAACATTTAGAAATAATCTAAACTTTTTTAAATAATTTTTGAGAACTTGTCAACTTTTTTAAAAAATACAATTGAAAATAATACCTGCTCACTCTGATGAAGATACTTATTGCTCATTTTAATACTTTTATGATTCAACGACAAAATATGTTTACTAATATGCGATATCCATTGCTCTAAAGCAGCCGTATCTTCACAATGCACAATTCCAGAAGATCGCCCATCAACAGATCTGACTTCGAATGAATTTGTTCTGAAAAGAAATCCGAGATTTTTTTTGCATTTATTTGTATTTTTCAAAAACGCAACCTGATATTGTCAGTTCCCCAAAGGTATCTGGTGACATACGCCATCGCCAATGGCAGCGAAGTCAGCGTTTTCCATTTTCTATCTTTTCCATCAATTTGTTGCTGCCATTTTGATTCGTTTAATCCTACTTCGGATTGAGATTTTTTCGACTGGAAATAAGTTTAAGGTTTGAAAAGGATTTTTTGTGAGCTAGAAATTATCAGTTTTTTATAAACTGAATTTTTCAGTTTTCGAATCATTTGCGTCTTTTTGATGTCATGGGATTTTTCAGATATTTTCAAAACTCAATGTTTTGGAAATTTTTTTTCATGAATTTTAAATAATTTTGTCCAATTTTTTCGAGCTGACAAATTGCAATTTTTGAGCTCGTTTGAGTCATTTTCAATTGATCCAGTTAAAAAAAAAGTTAGTCTCAAAAAGTTTTCCCTTGTCAGTATTTCCCATTCTCTCTTTGCTGAAAAGAAAAAAAGAAAAGTCGAAAGACGTATGAACTAAAAGAAAATTGTCTCGCTTTTTGTCAGCAAATTGAATTATTTAGGAACAAAAATATGTATATACTTTTTTCAGTTCTTTTTTTTCTTTCTTACCCTCGAACTTTTTCCATCAAATAACTGGTCTAATGTTCCATCTGGTTGAAGAGACTGAGCAGGCCTAAAAAGACATAAATCTATCAATCTTATGGAAAAATGCGAGAAAAAAAAAGATGGAAGAAAAGAGGAGGGGATTTTTGAATTTTAAATGGTGTATGTTTGTGTGTGGTTTTTTCTTTTCTTCCACGCACATAAGCCAAGACATGTTTGGTTTCTTTTTCACTCACTTCAAAAAAGGCGTCATATGAGTATAGTGGCGTACTCCAAGAGTCACTCGATCCCCATTTGATTTCAACATTTGAACCACCTCATCATGACTTTGACCTAAATTTCTTTTTTTTTTTGTTGAAATGTCTAATATTGCTCATATCAAACCTTCAATTGAAACACCGTTGACTTCTACAATCGCATCTCCAACAAAAAGTTCGCCACATTCATCTGCAGGTAATCCGGGGAAGATTTTTGAGATTACAATTGGCATATTTTGTGAGTTTTCTGATCCACCCTAAAAGATTTTCCTATTGTTTGAAGTTTATTTAAAATTCAGAAAATATTCACCTTAATTGAGAGTCCAAAACCTGACCCGGGTTTTTTGATGATCACAACTTGTCGTGTTGCATTTTCCATAAGACTTTCTCGTGCCTCTTCGGGTTCTGCAGTCCCATCGTCAATTACTTGAATACATAACTCATCTGTAAAAAATAATGAGTTGAAAATTGGGGCAATTTTTAATTTTTTGCAAAGAAATCTTTGGTCAGAATAATGTTTTGACATATTTCGTTATTTTCAGTATTAAGGTTGGTTTTTTTTAGCGAGTCGTACATGTAATTAATTTTCAAGTGGGAATTTTTCTATTTTGTTTGGGTAGCATAGTTCTTGATGTATATAATGAGAAAACATAAGAATGGGGTTTTGCCATGTAACATTTTTTCGAGCTAAAGTTATCTTTGCCGATTTTTGATTGATGAAGATAAAGAAACATACATATTCAGATAATATTCGTCCCTCAAAATTTGAAAAAATAAAACAATATAATATCTTCGATTGACGTTCGGTTTTGCACTTTAGGATTAGGATCAAACAAGAAGATTTTCAAAATTTTATATTTTTTCTAGAAACGCTAATCACAGTCTTAAAATTTTTCAAACACACTATACATATTCAGTGATATAAATGATATTGTTGTAAATTTGTGCTAGATTGTTTGTATTTTTATTATTTTTTCTACCAAGTACAAATATAAAATTAGCTACGCCAAAAATCTAGAATATTGTAGTGGTTTCTCTAAATTTTTGTATTTTGAATAATTTTAGGACTTTTCTCCTGCCTAGTACAAATCTAAAAATATCAGTAAAACTACGTAAAAGTCCAATTTTCATCGAATTTTTTAATAATTATAAACATACCTTTTGACAATAATAATCTCGAAGGTCTTGATGTCGAATTCCCATCACTAATCAATACAATACCATGGTGTACAACATCCAAATTGTGATTCGATTTTGTGACGGACATTGTGAAAATGTGTATTTATTTGTGAAATATCTCTCTCGTGCTCTTCCTTGCTTTTCCTCTTCCCATTTTCTTACACTTTTTGTTCCCGCAACAACAGCTGTGATTCATCAAACTCATAAATTCCAATTTTCCTCAAAAAAATTGACTTATACAAAACAAAAAAAAACATTTTTGTTCCCATATAGTGTTTTCTTTTTCTCTCTAATCCTCTCATCTCTCATCGCTTTCTTTTTGATATACTTTTCCCTTTGTTGTCTTTTTTCTTGGATTAAAAATATTTTTTGTTGTGTGTTGCGTCTTCAATGATAAAATTGTCTTCTTTTTTTTTAATTAAAAATTGTATAAATCTTCTTTCTAAATAAAATATTTTCAAAAAACAAACAAATACAACGATACTCCGCACATTTGCCTGTGTTTTATTTTGCAGGGACCAAATTGTTTCTTTGAACGAAGAAATTTCGCAATAGTTTATTTATTTATCAAATTATTCATATATTGTTTATGTTAGACAAAAAATATCGATTTTTCGCGCCGAATTTTTTTCCATCTACTAATAAAGTTTTTCGTCACACTTTTTTTGCCTCCTTTCTTTTCATGCATTTTTTTCACATCACATCCAGGCCTGCCAGCCAGGCAAGCTCCATAAAAAACTAACCAGAGGGGAGAGCTCATCGATTTCTTTGCACGTCTCTCCAATGTGTCTCTCTGCTGCTTGTTATTGATTTTTGCTCTTCTCTCACTTGCGCAACCAACCAAAATTGCTTCTTTTTTCCATATATGTGTCTATTTTTCCTTTTCTTCTTCAGCTCGTGTGTCTTTTTTTTTTGCTCTAAACCGACCACAAAAAATTGTACTTTTCAGGTAGAAATCTAATCAGACATGTCTCTCAAACAAATTGTTGGGCATAGTGAGTTTTCTCTATTTTTATTTGTATTTTTCAAAAAAAAAAGATACATTTCAGAACTGCTGAACGATGTGATCCGCCCTTTGAAGAAGCCAGAAGGCCGTGGCGCCTGGAATGTGTTGATTGTTGATACACTTGCAATGCGTATGCTTTCGTCGTGTTGTAAAATGCACAATATTATGGAAGGTATGTACTTTTGCTTTTTTTCTACGTCATATATATTGACTTGAAAGATTAAAAAAACATAAGATGTTTTCAGAAGGTATTACGATTGTGGAAGATTTGAACAAACGACGAGAACCGCTTCCGACACTTGATGCAATTTATCTGATTGCGCCAACACAAGAATCGGTAGGACATTTGAGCTTAAAAAAGATTGTTTAAATTGAAATGTTGAATTTCTCAAATTTTGCGGATAAGTGACATTTTTTAGATTGGAGAATATGTTGGTTCTGATTCAAGTTTTAAAAATCCTGAAATCTTTGAACTTTTTGAGAAACATTTCAAATATTGTGAATGATTTTATATGAACTTTGAGAAAAAGTTTCAGCTTAGACTATTTTTTAGCGGATTGAAAAGAAGGCTCATAAATTTATTGGCTATTCCGGATTGAATATTTCGTAATAAATTTAAATTATGCCGAAATAGAACCTCTAAAAATGGAAATTCAAATGTTTTTTAGATTTCCAAACAATATAATAATTTTTCAGATCGACAAACTTATTCAAGATTACGTTGTCCGTAACCAATACAAATGTGCACACGTCTTTTTCACCGAAGCCTGCTCCGATCAACTTTTCTCAACACTTTCCAAAAGTGCAGCTGCAAGATTTATCAAAACATTGAAAGAAATCAACATTGCATTCACACCATATGAAAGTCAAGTTTTCAATCTCGATTCGCCAGATACTTTCTTTTTGTATTATAATGCACAAAAACAAGGAGGATTGACTTCAAATTTGGAGAGAATTGCTGAACAAATTGCGACTGTCTGTGCCACACTTGGCGAATATCCATCTTTGAGATATCGTGCAGATTTTGAGAGAAACGTTGAGTTGGGACATTTGGTTGAACAGAAACTGGATGCTTATAAAGCTGATGATCCATCGATGGGAGAAGGTGCGGATAAAGCTAGAAGTCAATTGATTATTATTGGTGAGTTTGTTGGAATGTCTTTTGAATAGTTTTTCCAATGGGTACTGTTGTTTCAGACCGTGGATATGATGCAATTACACCTTTGCTTCACGAGCTCACACTTCAAGCTATGACCTATGATTTGCTTGGAATTGAAAATGATGTATATAAATATGAGACTGGTGGAAATGAGAATGTTGAGAAAGAAGTATTGTTGGATGAAAATGATGATTTGTGGGTGGAAATGCGCCACAAACATATTGCAGTTGTCTCACAACAAGTGACAAGTGGATTGAAGAAATTCAGTGATACAAAAGGGAATAAAGGAAACATGGATGCTAAATCAATCAAAGATTTGTCGATGTTGATCAAGAGAATGCCACAACATAAAAAGGAGTTGAACAAATTCAGCACACACATTAGTTTGGCTGAAGAATGTATGAAACAATATCAACAAGGTGTTGATAAATTGTGTAAAGTCGAACAAGATTTGAGTACTGGAGTTGATGTGGAAGGCGAGAGAGTTAAGGATGCCATGAAATTGATGGTCCCATTGTTGATTGATCCCGCGGTTAGATGTGAAGATCGTTTGAGACTTATTCTTCTTTATATTTTGAGCAAGAATGGTGAGTAGGGTTGGCGAAACTGATCCGATTCTTTTTCGAAGTTTTGAGATGTTTTTTTTCTGAAAATAAAATATGGTTTTCAGGTATCACTGACGAAAATTTGAACAAACTCTTGCAACATGCGAATATTTCAATGGCTGACAAGGAAACTATCACAAATGCTGCACTCTTGGGATTGAATATTGTCACTGATGTAAGCTAAAAATTAACAGGAACTTGGGATTATTTTCTCATTTTCACTTTTGAAAATATTGAAAAATTGGATATAATAGTTTCCATCTATAAAGTTCTGCTAATATAAACAATTTTTCAGAACGGCCGCAAGAAGACTTGGACTCCAACTCGCAAAGAGCGACCACATGAACAAGTCTACCAATCGTCGCGTTGGGTTCCACTCATCAAAGATATAATGGAAGACGCAATCGATGATCGATTGGACACCAAACACTTCCCATTCTTGGCTGGAAGACAAGTCAATCAAGGATACAGGTACTCATTTTTTCTTTTTCTAATTCCGAGCATTTTTTATCAAAGTTGTGTTTGTAGAGCTCCAGCATCTGCAAGATATGGTCAATGGCACAAGGAAAGAGGTCAACAATCAAATTATAGAAGTGGTCCAAGACTTATTATCTATATTATTGGAGGTGTTACCTTCTCTGAAATGAGAGCTGCATATGAAGTAACTGCGTCGAAAAAACCATGGGAAGTTATCATTGGAGCGGATCGTGTTATTACACCAGACAAATTCCTCACCAATCTTCGCGATCTCAACAAACCGCGTGACCAATGACATGCGGCGGGAACTAGAAACGAAAGTGTAGTCGATGAAACCACAACCTATGGTCCTATTTAAATTCAACAAACACACCCTGTCTTGTATAATTTTTTCACAACAAAAAAATCAAACCATTTCTTGTCATATGTGAATATTATTGTAGTCGTCAAACTTTTCTGGTTCCCACCCATGCCCCTTTTTCTTTTTTTCTCTATAAGTATTTATTTTGAGATTTTTCATTTATCGTAGGTTGTGAAATGTTAAATTAATTAGTAATCAATGGCCAAAAAGTGTGAAAAATGAGAATTTTTGTACTATCTCGCTTTAAATTTGGTATATATGTTTCGCTTTGTTAGATTTTAGTATTTATTTTTGTATGTTTATGGGATAGTGCGCTCTTTGCCTGAAAATTTTATTATATTTCAAAAATTTCAAAAATTTGGAAAAAAAAGTTAATTTCACTGAAACAAAATACATTCCGCTATGAATCCTTTCTTCTTTTTTTTTTTATTATTGTAATTTATATATCGAATTGGAAAGCAATAAATAATTAGGCTTGTAATATTTGTTGAATTTAATTTGGAAGTTGTTAAATTTTTTCATTCTTCATGTATCTAAAAATTTTGAAATTTAAGCATTTCTTGGCAATTTTTTTCTTGCCTGGATAGAAGGTGGTTTTCAATTCTGAAAAATTGACCAATCAACTCTTCAAGTTTTGATTTTGTTTTAAATGTCTTCGAATTATTAATTTTTACTGGCATAAGAAATTTTGGAGTGTTGTGGACCTTTGTAAGTTTAGGAAAATGCGACACTTGAAATTTCATTTTGAGAAACCAAAATGAATTTTGAAAAACATTAAATAGCATTTTTCAATAGTTGTCTTCGATGTTCCAGTTAGAATTTTGATACGGTTGTGATAGTTGTCATACATAATCCGTCCATTAAAGACATTTCAGAAAGGGGTGAAAAAATATATGAATATATATCAATTTTTTCCTGAAAAGTTTGAACTTCGATTTTCAATCAATCTTGTTGAAGAAAACAATTTTATTCAGCAGTTCAAAAAAAGGTTAAAATAATTGTATTGTCAGCTATACATCAGAAGCAGCAAAAAAAACCATGAAAAAGAACATCGGGTTTGAATTGTAGGTGTCAAAAAATTACTAAACTACTGTTTCATTCATTCATTTGTTATTTTGAAAGTTAAAAGTTGAAAGTTGCATTTATTCCTCATCTTCTTCCTCTTCCTCCTCATCTTCCTCTTCCTCTTCTTCTTCCTGAAAAAATGATTATGATTTTACTAATAGAGAATTACGTGAAATCTGATAGTGAAAATATTAACCTCTTCCTCTTCTTCCTCTTCTTCCTCTTCCTCCTCTTCCTCTTCCTTTACTGGTTCTTCAACCTTCTCCTCTTCTTCCTCAACTTGTTCTTCCTCTTCTTCCTCTTCTGGTTCTGGTTCGGCGCTAGCTTTCACCGATTGGGTATCATTCTCAGATTGACGAGATGATTCGCGTTCCTCGAACTTCTTCTTGTAGTGACCGAATGGGTCGACAGAAGAAGCACTGCCTGGTGGCTTGGTCTCTTCCCACTCTTTCAATGCAGCCTCGTAGTCCTCAATCCTGCAAAATTTTAGTTTAGCAAATCTAGACTCTCTGAATGCTCTCTTACCATTCCTTCTTCCATCCGGCGCGTTGAATGGTGTTTCTTGGTGTTCCGAAACCAGTCATTCCACGTTGTGAAGCCAATTTGTTAGTTCCAGATTGAAGTGGAACAATACCTTCAGATTTTTGTTTGAGTGTCTCCTCGATTTCTTTTCCACCCTTGGTGTGTGGCAAAACGTCACGAACTTTCAAGAAACCTCCGGATCCAGCTTGTGTGGCAAATTTGTTTTGTCCCGAATACCATGGGGTGTATTCTGTTCCTCGTCTGAGAACTTCCTCTCCAATTTCAAGACCTTCAATTTTTTGGGTGGCTTGACGAACAGCTCCGAGTCCTGGTGGTGCAGACATTCCGGTTTGTGAGGCGAACAAGTTGGTTCCGTTTTGGAAGCAGAGAACTCCATGGGTACGTCTGTCGTGTGGAAGACGACCGCGAATCATAGCAACTTGATTTCTATGTCCTCCCATTGAAACTTCTCCGGCTTGTGAAGCGAGTCCGTAATCTCCAGCTTGTTTTGGGATGATCTTTTCTCCTTCTTTATCCAAAACAGTTTCCCATTCCTTCTTGTAAGAAATTTTTGGAACCTAAATAAATATTCAATTATTTCAAAAATCTCCAAGGCTCCTCGATTTGGAAAACAAAACATACCTGGAATCTGGAAGATCCGATTGGTGTTTCTCCTTTTTGCGAAGCATATTGGTTAGTACCGCATTGAACACGGAGGACATTTTCAGAGCTACGATCTGGGGCGATATATCTGAAAATGTTTCAAATAAAGAAAAATGACATATTTTTTTGATGATAATTATCTTACCCCTCTTTCTTGTCCTTGGTGATGTTCCAACGTGGCATACCTGGAGCAGTCATACCGCGTTGCGAGTCGAATTTGTTGGTGGCAGCTTGCATCGACAAAAAGGTGTTTCCACCCTTCAATTGTTCCAAGGTCCATCTTTTGCGTGGTTGCGATTCGCTGGTTTGCCAATCCTACAAAATTATTCAACCTGATTTGTTTTGTTTTGCGGAATTTCTAAAGTCATTTGAAACTTTTTTGAAACGCCCGGAAAAGATCTGTTTATCCTTGATCGCTGAATGCATACAAATAGAAGCGAGAGGAGATAAATTTGAAGTGTGCGCGGGAGAAACGAGGTGAAAAAATGAAGAAGGTAAATATTGCAACCGTTTTTTGTGTGTGGTTTTCAGAGAAAAATTGGGAGATTCTTTGACTAGGTGAACGGAGTTCAACTATTAAAAAACGTAAAACGTTGAAGTATGATCACAGAAAACTTTCCCTACTGTAGGAGAGATTCAAAATGATTATATAACGAATAATTCTGGGAATGATAAAAATATCTTCAGATAGCCTAAATACTTTTAAATCAAAAAGTTATTTCAGCTTTGAACGTTTTTCAGAAAAGCTGAAATATCAAAAACCTTCAAAATGCCTAATACTTTTCAAAGAACCCAGAAAGCTTCGCATCATGGAAACCTCACTTTTCAAGTTATGGGCTCTACAAAACTTTGTCTCAAAAAATCACGAATTCAAATAAAAGATGAATGTGCATTAGCATCAGCTTACTTCATTCAACTAGCAATCTAATTCTATTTTCAATCGATTATCTTTACCCTAACCCTCCAAATATAAAATTCAAAAAAAAATGCCAAACTCACTTTCTCACCCATCGTTATTGTTTTGTGATTAAAAGTGTGCGCGGTAAAAACGTGCGACAATAGAGTCAGACAAAAGTCAAACTGACAGTCCTCGAGGGGTTGGGCTCTCCCTTTTTACTTTCTGTGTATCTGTGGGGGTGGACCTACAGTATATCCCTCCATTGTTTACCCCTGCGCACTTTTTCATTTTCGTTTTGGATAGAGATGGATAAGTAGAGAAAGAGAGAGCCCGCGCATGAAGAGCCAAAACCTTTTGATGAGCCAAACTGGTTAGGCTTTCCTTTATCTTTTTGCCAGGGTTTTTTTTGAGAGATAGAGATAGAAAGTATTTTGAGAGAAGTATGATAGAAAAATGGAATTACTCTGAAATATTAGTAAGATGTTTGATTTTCAGGATATTTTGACATGTGGGTGGATAGATAAATAAATATTGATAGCTGTTTTTTTTTGAAAATAAGAAGGTGATGTCATATAGTTGGGGGTTTTCTGGAATTTTGAATGGGTTGGGAGAAGCGACTTGGAAAAACCTTTTTTCAGAAATTTGTAAAACTTAGCATCGAATGCCATCCAAGTTACGAATTTTTGATTAGATACCTTCAACTTGAAATCAATATTTAGAATTCATGAAAAAACACGAAGTGAGCAATATTTAGTTTCAAACTGTGATCTGGAACGTGTGAGCTTTCGAGTAAGAACAGTTCAATTTTTGTTAAAGATAAAAATACAAATTCTTGGCTCACATAAAAAAAGTTTTCATACATTTTGAGAAACATTCTTACTAATTCCCTAGATCTCTGAAATTTGTTGTCAACTTTTCTGATATCTATTCTGAGAAAATGAAAGCGATATCACTACAATGTTCTATACATTTCTTTATTTTCAAAGTTCCTTAATTTCAGATGCATTTTTATTGCAGTATCCTTATCTTCATTCGTCAGACACAAGGCCCAATCTCAGGTTTTTTGTGTTTCTCAAGATCAAAGCACATATGATTATTTTTTTTCGGAAGTTTTATCAGTAGTACTACCACAGTACTTCTCCTCCTCCAAACTCCTCCACGTTTCTTTTCGTTTTTCTTGCAACTTAACTCAACTCGTAGATAAATTGGAAAAAGAGGGAAAATATTTCAAGTAGGTAAAAATGACTGGGCTGCTCAACTCGTTATCCTTCTGTGTGTGTGTGTGTCTCAATATTTGCATTACAGCGCCGCGCGCTCTCTGAGATCTGTGCGAGGGAAAAAAGAAATGAAACATTGATTTGTGGAAGGAAAAGTTTATTGAGATTATGAGCAAGGGAGATTGAAAATGGTTTATTTTAAGAAAAAAGACAGCTGTATGTGTTTGAATTTCCTGTTTGATATTAATAGATTAACTTGGAAAAAAATTTCCTAAACTCAATAAATTAGAACTTTAATGATAAACGGAACAGGGTTGTGAAAATATTGGAAGGTTTAAAAACAAAAATAAGAAATCACAATCGGGTCGGTTCTTTTGACTGGATTTCTAAAACAGTAATTGAACCCTATCAAAATATTGTTAAACACAGAAAGTCTTAACGAGTCGCGTGAATCCCAGGTCAATTGAAAATCAAACATTTTCTCAGAAACAACTTATTCTTGTTGAAAGTTTATTATCAAAATATTTAAAGGCCAGGAATGAGCACGTTTGAGTAAAAATTGACAAAAAAAGAGTAATATTAAAAAAAAACCGGCTAGGTAGACATTTCTATAATTTAAAATTATTTTTTAGGAAAAAAATGTTGGGTAGCAATTGATGAAAACGGTGAGGGAAAAATCACAAAAAAAAGGTTAGAAGTGAATTTCAAGTAAGTAATAATTATTTTTTAGAAAAAAAATATGTGGGGTAAAATTTGAAAGAATTCTTTAGTAAAAGAATATGTTGGAAATTATTTTCAAAAACGTTGGAATTATTTCTCAAGGTAAGGAGAAAATAGGTTGGGTAGAAATTGCAAAAAAGGTTCTTATTTAAGAAAAAAGTCGTATCGCTGTGAAACATTTTGAGGGATTACAATTAAAATACTATTAAAAATGGCGAATTAGGTTGAATCAGAATAATATATATTGTGTTAGAATTGAGATGATTCAACAATGATAATAATGACAATACAACATGTACATCATCATTAAGCTAAGCGTGAATGCGATCCAGACAAGCAAAAATTGTTGCATCTGTTCCATGAAAAGATAACATGGTTCCTTTGCATTGTCTGAAATGTATTTCTGTTATATGTATATATGCTCTAATTATTTATCACTACTATACCTAGTTCCAAAACTTCAACCAGCTCTTCAGCATGAAACATGTTGAGATCAATTGGATTTCCATTTTCAACGAGCACAGCAGCCTCTCTGCTATGAACTCCGCAGATTTGACAAACACAACCTAAAAAAATTGAATGAGTGAGTTTCTTTTTTTGTTGTGATAGTAATATTACCTGTTGCGAAGATGCCAACTGTTTCACATGTTGGTTTGATTTCGAGAATTGATGCATCTGGATTCTTGCCGACACAGATCTCTTCAGACATTGGAACTTCTGTAAAATATAAACTTTTGAAAATTAAACTTTTTTTTTCACGAATTCACCTTTTTTGATTTTTTCAGTCATTTCTTGACAATCAGTCATTTCATTGACAAGCTTCTTGGACAAATCAAAGTTGGTGACCATTTTTTCAGGAAACTGAAAAAAATCTTGTATAAATGAGAATCTAAAGTTAGAATGAAAAAAGTGTTTAGAAAAATATCATAAACTGAGTGAGACAAAATGAACGCACGGTTTCTCATGAGTCATGTTTTCTTTTTAAAGTTATAGAGAGTTCTTATGATCAGTGATAGAGGGGGAAAAGGGAAGAGAATGGTGCAAAAACAGTAGTGGTCTGATTTTATTTTCGTTGGTGTGTGAGAGACATAGACGGTGATGAAATATTTTCGCAACCCCGCCCATCTAAAATGAGACATGTGTTTTGTACTTTTCTTCTCTAACGCGATCATTTTGTATCAGAACCGTAGAGGAAATTGGCAGATCGCCAATTTTTTAACCGCGACGCATAAACGCTCTGCAGGGTTTTGAAATTTTCGGAGAGTTTTTTTCAATTCGAAATGGAATTACAAAAACAAGAATAATATGTAGCGGTAGGAAAACAATTTGAAAATTTTTCGATATTATATTCAGAACACTAACTGTCTAATTAACTTAAAACTGCATTTAAGGTTTTACATAGCCGAACTTTATTTATACGAAAAGAAGTCCTAATGAAACAAAAAAATACAATTTGAAAAAGAAACTGTGAATCTTAATAAATGAGAAAGTATTTTGAAAAAAAAACATCACGAACTGAAAAATATTCTTGTGAGTGATCGAGGGGGAAAAGGAATGGAAATGGTGTAAAAACAGTCGTGGTTCGTTTTTTTTTCTATTGGTGTGTGAGAGACATAGACGGTGATGAACAATTTTCGCAGCCCCGCCCATCTAAAATGAGACATGTGTTTTGTACTTTTCTTCTCTAACACGATCATTTTGTGTCAGAACCGTAGGGGAAATTGGCAGATCGCCAACTTTTTAACCGCAACCGGTGCGAGTTTTCGATTTCATACTAGGACTTTTTTTAATTAAAAATTGGAGATAATTCACGAAGAATAATGTGTGGCAGATGAAAAAACACAGCTCGGGAAGCTGTCGGTAGGGTTAGGCAACGTCGACGGCAGTCTCACCGCGATCTTGATAATGTATTCTCATCCAGTTAAAATATATACATATCTTATTCATTATTAGGAAGGATTTGAGAAATACAAAACAAACGATTCAAAAAAGGCTATAAGAAACTGAATAGTAGAAAAATAGAAAATGAAAATGAGAAATATCTGCACAGTCTTTCCTTCTCTAACATGGGACATGTTGTCTCTCTACAGTTCTAGAAAAATCTTGTGATCAGTGATCGAGGAGGAAGGAACCACTCGTCTCCCGATTCTCAACTCTGTTCGGGCAAAGCCTATGCGTCGCGGTCACGAAAGAATGACTCATCTGGAGAATTTGTTATGTTGTGTTAGAGATTCAGAGGGGTATGAAGCCTGGCAGATATTAATTTTTGTAACCGCAACACACACACGCGTCGCGTGATGTAATTTAAAACGACGAGGGTTCAAAGAAATGATAACTGATTTCAAGAAACAGATTCTTCAAAAACAGTGCAAAATTAATATAATGAAAAAGCTGAAACATATTTTTTTGTCAGAATCAAACTGATTCTGATAAATGCAACAAAACATCTTACAAATCTTGTTGAAAATTGTATAACACAACCTCTTCTTCTCTAAAATGAGTCATGGTTTTCCACTACGTATGCGACAGAGAAACAAAAATTACAAGTTTCTCGACGGAGCGCAGAAACCATGAACGAAACGAATCTTCTCTTCATTGGGAAATCTGTTTTCAAAACAGAATCCTACAGCCAGGCAAAAGTGCTACACTCTCTAATTATTTTTTTTTCAATCGTAAAAAATTATCAAAAAATATCAGTTAAAAATTTTTATTATATAATATTTGAATTAGGCTTAAATACGGGTAAGTTCAAAAAAAGAAAATATATAAAAAGATTGGTTTCTATTCATTAAGGAAACGGAAAATTGCATAAAGTACCCACGAATAAAAAAAGTAGTCCAAGATATTAGCCACTTTAACCAACAAGAAAAGACGCACATACCATTCTTCCAAATCTGAAAAATCATTGTTTTTTTTGTGTTTTTGTTATATGAGAAATCTACCTCTTTTGAAAGCTGCCGCATTCTTGTTTTCGAATAAACCTCTCTTGACGATAGCTGAAGCTTTTCCGTGAATGATCTCCGCAAATGCTGAAAAATATTTCACATGAATTTCAGTTGCTTCATTGAAATTTTACCATTTTGAGACAACTCCACTATTGGAACGTTGCGAGTTTGCTCATCATCCGAGTCGGATTCTGGAATATGATGTTTTGAAGGTCAGAGTTTGTTTATATCATTTTTACCTTCTTCGATATCAGCCATTTCTGATTCCGAATCATGAAAAAGCTTTTTAGACCAATCCGAATTGTCACCCATTTTCAGAACTGAAAATTATTTTGTTTTGATTATTTAGTTTACAAATGCGTCCCAATTAGGTTCATCCCATGATAAATTAACAGATAGATAGCCTATGAGATCACCTATCAGTACCGTATCAACTTTATTTGTTACCGAATTGCTGGGGTGGGGGGGAAGTTTTTTTTCCCGGGTTGATTCTCAAAAAATAAATGACAGATGAAACAGTAGGGGTTAAGAAGTTATCAGGGGGGGATTCTTATTTTAAATTTTTTTTTTAATTTCTTGGGTTGAATATATAACGTGGGATAGAAAAACATTGGAATCAAAGAGAAGGAAATTGAAAATTATGAAACAGTATGGATTTTCGATGAATGACAGAAATAATATGCGAAACGATAACCATGCACAGCCCCGCCTATTTTTTATGAGGCACGGTTTTTTTCTACAGATCTGGAAAATTCTTGTCGTCGATGGGGGCGGAGAGAAGGAAAATGGTGATAAACAGCAGTGGTTGTAAATTTTTATTCGAAAATTCTAAAAATCTATGAATGACTCATTTTGAAAACTCATTCAGATCTATGAAAACATCAAAACGTTGTATTTCGATATTTTTCTTTTTATCATAGAAAAATAATAGCTTATTTGGTCAGGGCCAAATAGAGTCCGGCCTAAAATTATTTTTTACGAAATAAATTTCAGTCATATTTTTTTTTGAACATCCTTTAACATTTTCCAATCAAGTAATAGAAGTTTCGAAATACGGCTGATTGAAAGTTCTGTTAAAGCCCTAGTTCTTCTGATTTCAGAGACCTTTTCAACTTATGTCGGGTTGTAAATCTTTCTAAATTTCATAATTTTTTTCACTTTCAAAATTTTGTGGAAATCAATAAATGACTCATTCGGAAAAAAACACCCACAACCACAATTTAGCCTATCTATTGCACAGTATCATTCATGTGTATTTTTGTTTATCAAACAAATCTTTATATTTTTTTTTCAGAGAGATGGCGAATGATTATGACTTGACTTCTGAAGAAGTTTTTGTAAGCTTGGAGCAATTGACTAGAGAGAAGATTGTTGGCTCAGCAAGTTCAAAAGTTTTGGAGAAATCTGAATGTGAGAATAAAAGTTAGTTTTAAAATTTTTGTATAGTTTTTTAAAACTATTATTTCCAGAATTTCCCATTCAAGAAAAGAAATCAGCTGCTGAATTAGAAAACATCAATTCTCTTTCCGACAATGATTACGTGATTGAGAGACCAACAAGACTCAACTTCGATTCGAGTGATACAGCGATTCTTATTCCCGAAAGTGGTGAGATTCTGAATTTTTGAAAATCTCAAATACCAATTTTAATATTACAGAGATCCCGAAGAAAACATCTTGCTGTGGCAGATTTTTCAAGAAGCATTTTTGTAAATTTTCCAACGTTCTCATCAATTTCTGGATGCTTGCCACTTTCTGTTTCCTGGTTTGTGTCATTTACAAAGTAAACGGTCGGAACCAATAAGTTTCATTTTTTCTCACTTATTCCGTATTTATATTTTATTCATTTATATTTTCTAATAATAAACTATATTTGATGTTTTTTATTATTTCAATTTAAAAAATGATTGGAATTCATTTGTTGAGAATACTCTCTCAAGAAAATATCATTTTTCAATCAACTTTTTTTCGATCACGTATTTGTAAAGCTGGAAGATCTTCCAGGTTTTCAAATCCTTTTTTTCGAGCCAATTTTCATGATTTCCGTCTTTTAAAATTTCCTAGAAGTTTCTAGCGATAATTTTGCTCAGATTCACAAAAACTAATGCCTGTTTACTAATGTTGGTGAATTTTGAAAATCCAACTTCAGAAATGACAAAAACAGTTTATTTTCACAAAAAATGGATTAGACATGCTCAAAATATATTTCATAATATAATATAATATAATACAGAAGACAGAAAAGAATTTTGTTTGTTTTTCTTCAAAAAATTATGAAACAGACAATTGGCGAATAACCGTGAACGCAAAATGTTTGCGTGGCAAGATAAAGTATTTTTCAGGGAACAGAGAGTTTTTGGTTGAAAAAAAGAGAAATAAAAGGGGAAATGTTTGTGTTTCTGAAATGTTTTTGAGCTTTTGCAACGGGTTTTTGAAATTGACATGAGAATAGTTATTCGGCTTCCATTGGACGTTGATTTGCAGAGAATATGTTTGCGTTAACACTGCAAAAATTAAAATATTTTAATTTAACATATTGAAAAATGAATGAATTTGAATGTGCGTTCTGGAAATATTTGTGAAAAAGCGTTCTGGTTGATAGAAGAGCGTGAAAAATAGTGTTTTGGGTGTGATTTTTGGTGCAAGAAAGATAGAAAACTCACTCATTTTTTGTACATTATGATATTGATAAATTTATTTTATTTAATTATTGTAATTATATATAAAAAATATATAAATCATTCCTGTGTATCAATACTGAAAAGAAAAATCAGGGTAGATCAAATTCATCTAGATACCTTCTAAAAATAATTTCAGAAAACAACTCACTTTCCAGAAACTTTCATGAAATTATCAACAATAATTGTGATAGGAAGAGCCAAGACAAGGACTCCACTGATAATTGCACCACTTGCAATCAATTTTCCGGCTGGAAAGGTTTTCAGATATCATTAGAACTTGGTGTGAAATTTTAGAAAAAGAATTAAAATACTTACGAACTGTTACTGGAACATAATCACCATATCCAACTGTTGTCATAGTGACAATTGCCCACCAAAAAGCTGCTGGAATTGAGGTGAATGGTGTATCTTTTTCATCCTTTTCAACAAAATATAAAAGTGTTGAGAAAAATACAACACCAGTTGATAAAACCATTCCCATCATTCCAAGTTGGCGAGCAGAACTTTTTAGAGTTAATGCAAATGTTCGCATTCCAGAGGAGTAGCTGAATAAATAATCAGGGTCTTGAGGAATATAAGTTTTAACAAAAACCAATCTTACCGTCCAAGTTTCAAAATTCGCACAACTCTCAAAACTCGAAGTACTCGAACAACGAGCAATGCTCCTTTAATGTCACTCAAACTGGCAACATCAATTCCAAAAAGTGCCAATCCGACTTCCAAATAAAATGGAATGATGGCAATCATATCAACAATGTTCATGATTCCGGTGAGGAATTGAACTCTGAAAAAACAATTATATCAGGCTTTAATGTGTTTTTTAGATACCTGCTTGGAGTAACTGTCAATCTGACAATAAATTCAACAGTAAACCAGATAATGCAAGTTGTCTCGACATATGAAAACACTGGGTGTGGTTCCCAAATAACATCTGTGCCATTCACTGAAAAATCGTCATTTCCAATTTGAAAAACCTCATCTCTCCAATAAAAATTAATCTCTAACGTAAGCATTATTTGCTAGAACATCACATTTTCCAATAAAATAACAATCACTTGTGAAAATCACACCAAGCTGAGAAGTGGTTATTGAAAATTTGTTAAATCTTGGGGTTTTCACACAAAAATCAAACTAAAAAAGCACTCTGTGAAAAATGAAAATGAAAAAAATATGTATATAAATGTGACAAAATAGAAGTATAGAATAGAAAACCACCTGAAGCAGAGTCGTATTCGTCAGCTGTAAGCGTTAATGTCACTCGGAATCAATGTGAAAAAAAAAAACACAACTGTGATCAGAAAATTTGAAAAACCTACATAGCGTTATATTATCCAAAATTCGTTCAGCTTTTCCGCCAGTTTTACGAATTGGAACTTGAAGTTCATGAATCGAACCCAAAACTAGACCAATAACACTGATTAACACAAATGAAATACTGCCAAATGTGAATAATGTGGAGAAAAGTGAGCCATCACCCTCGCAAAATTGATGAATTCTGCTCCGCAGGCTTCTGTCATGTAGTTCGATTTTCTTCTCTTTTGGTGCCACCAATTCTTCCAATGAGGCACTCCTAAAAATTCACTATTAACTTCTGATTTCTTCCATTTAAAAAATATCAAATAAATAAAAATAAAATGTGACATTCTAAAGGTGCAAAAATGAATAAATTTACATATATTTTTTCAAAAGGTAAGGGGAAATATCTTGAATCATTTGTAAATTCATGTCAAAAAAAGCTTATAACTTACACTTGTTCGGTGTTTGTCTCATTTATTGATCTCTCTCTGAACCCGTCCAATTAGGAAAAATAATATAGATTTTGAGAAGGGAATTATTTGAATATGGATTCAGTTTTTGGCTCAAAAAGTTATTAGAGTTCTAAGAACTGTTTAAGCACAGAATCAAAAACTCAATAACACTTTGAAAAAAAATCTTTAAAGTTTCATAATAAAAATACTTGAGATTAACTCACATATTGTATCCACGCCAACAACAATTTGACATAACACAGTCATTTATTTTCCAGTATGACAATTCGCAAGAAAACTCTTGCGGACAAACATCTAATGGGCGATGCAATTGTCCAGAAACGTAATATTTGAATATTGAATCGAATAAAATTGAGGACCGCTCGAAGTAATATTCTTCTTGTGGCTGAAAATTGAACTTTAGTTTGAAAAAAAACTTCTTCAATTATTTTCAGATTACCATCAAATAAGCATCACATTGAAGAATTCGTTGCTCATGGCTCATTTGTGCGAATGTGGATAACTTTTCTTCACCAGATCGTGCAAAAATGCTTGAAATCCTCAGACGGAAGGATGTGCCACCAACATTAAATTTTAACACTGTATCTCCAGCTCCTGAGAATGTTTGTTTCAATTTCATGAACTACAGTTCTTTGATTTCTTATTTTTGTTTCTGTCATATGTATTATGCTGCTTTTTATATGAAAAAAATGATGCACAAAAAACTTTGAACTTTTCAGATTTTGGAGTTCACATCAAAATAAAAATTCCCTTTGGATCTTCAACAAAAAATATATGTATAAAACTGAATAAACGAACACTTTGCAACTTATTTAACCTTAAATAAATGGAATGTGCTAAAAAACATCAAACCGAGACTATTTAAAAATCAGAATGTGTCTTGATCAAAGCGAAATTGAAATTCGACAAACTGAACATTTTTATCATTTTCCTAATAGATCTTTTACAAAAAATATAGAATAGTGACTAACAAAGATTAAGTCTATCAAATTAATCCTTCATGATTACAATAAGCTGAAAAAATCCTATGATATAATGACATTTGTGTCTTGCCAATTAGTGTCTTGTCAATAATAAATCAAGGCGAACTAATTTTAACAGTTATCACAAACATGTGTGGGTTTTCAAAAAAACTAGTGTTACTGTACAAATAAAAATATAAAATTTCAATTTTAATTAACCCCCAGTGAATAGAAATCCTACCAGAAAATAATGAAAGTTCAGAATTTGTGTCCTCGTCACAAGAGAGCATAAAAAGTTCAACTGACTCCAAAAACTTCTCACAGAAACACTTGAAAAAAACTCACCAGAAACTAAATCAGGCTTAGGCTCTTCAATTTCCGAACGTCTTCCATTATTATACCGATGCACAATTTCATTATCATTATGATGATTTGAATTTCCAAAATTATTTTCACGTGATCCGGGTCCGTGTCCTTTCCGCGTGCTCGGAATCACCATGGCAATTTGATTACTGCAAAAAATGAAAAAAAAAAAATAGAATAACAATATATTGATAAGTGTGTATAGAATAATATATATGTATAGAATTTTTTTTTTTTTCATATACTTTTTTTTCTTTTTTCACCTGCCTTCTACCTAGAAATCCACCGTGAGGATTGAAATGTGATTTTTGGCAAGAATTAAACATAGTAGACTTTTAAAAATATATAGATTTATGAAAAGTAGATAGAAAAAACTGAATATTAAGTCGAGAGAAGTTTTTTGAGCTTTTTTCCGTGAGAAAACACAAAATATGAAATCACAAGGGGATCATTTATAAAAAAATCATGATGAGGGGAACCAACATTTTTTGGTCCCAGTTTAAAAAATTTCATATTTTCTTTTTTAAACTCACTGTGAAGCTCTAATCATCTATTTTTCAGATTGGAAAATTTTGTGAAAAAAATGAAATAAATAAATAAATCTGATATGGATTAAAATTATTATTCAAAAAGAAAGAAGATTTATCCATGTTCTCTTTTTTTTTTGAAAAAAAGCTGTATACATTTGCTCCAAGTTCAACTCAAAAATATCATCCCAAAGGAGGAGAAAAATCTGTCTCAAGAAAGGGCATAACCTATAAAAAAGCATATTTTTATTGTTGCTTTTTTATGTGAATTTTTTGTATTTTTTTCTCGCCTACCCAGAATACTTACTTATTCGAAAACATTGTAGAAAAAATATGAAGTGACAGCAGAAGTTTGTTTTTCTTTTATTTGGAAAGAAGATTTTCTAGACTGACACGAGAAAAATGAGTGGCAAAAATCAGTTATGAGTTTTGCTCGAAAAATGTAATTTGATTGGATGAACACACGATGATTCTCAAGATTTTCCCGATTTTTTGCTGCGTCGTTTTTTTTTCAAACTTTTTTGTCGGGGAGGGAGAGGTTTTTAGGATTATCCCCTAGAAAAAAGGAAGAAAATTGGATTTTTCTTGAAACGTATATGCTTTGCAAAAGAGCAACACACAAGTTATTAGGCTTAAAATAATTTCAAAAAATGTCTTCTTAGTTTGTTTTTCATTGAAAAGTTATGACAGCGGAAAAAAACTGAGAGACCAATGAATATAATTTTCCCACGTTGTCTTGTTAAATATGTTCAGATTAATCATCTGTTATTTTCGCGAAAATATCTGGATTTTCAAAAGAGAATGAAAATGTTCGAGAAAATATCCTGGTCAGATTGGTTCTTTGAACTGAAAATTTGTCAGAAAAAAACACCTGGATGCACTTTACTTGGAATGAATCGGAAAAAAATTAATTAAATTTTCATATAACTAGGAAACATGAAACATTTTGTCATTTTATTGAATGTCTGATATATGTAAGAGGGAGAGGGTTGGAAAATTGTAGTGACTTTGAACGAATAGAGCATTCTCGTCACATTTTTAGAATGTGAGTTTTTGCAGGTAATTTCGAAAATGTGTGATCGAATACTATTCTCAAAAATAAAAACTCTACAAAGTGTTGCACGGTTTGTTATAGTATCAATTGACAGAACTTTCGCTAGATCACAAACATTTAATAAGTCAAAGATATATCAAAAAACCATTTTATAAATGCTTATTGCTCATTTCATAACATGATTGACATCATTCCAGATTAAATGTTCTCCAAAAAACATTTATTAGACTTTGCGGAAGTTTTTTATTTCCGTTGTTGATCTTCGAAAAAAAAAAATCTTTGAAATTCAGAAAAAAGTTTCCCCTGAAAAATCTAGATCAAAATCTACATAACAAAAAATCAGACTCGTCTCATTAAAAATTATAATAACCACCCAAAGATCAATCTCATTCTTTACATTTTTACCAAGAAAAAACATCCTAATTAGCATAATTCACAACGCGCTCGAATGAAAAAATAAAACTAATGAAAAACCAACTCTTACCGGAATCTTTTATACATAATAAAAGAATTTTTCTATGTTTGATCAGTAGCGATAAAATATTCAAAGAGCAGCAAAAAAATGAGTACTTGTAAAAAAGGATATTAGATTTCAACAAGTTGTTCACAACCTAATCAAAAACCCCAAGAGCAATAAGAAATGTGATTTTTTTCGTTTTTTTTTGCTTGATGTCAGAATTGCAACATTCAGCGCAAAGGCAAGAAAAATGAAAAATTACCTGACATATTGATACATTTTTGTTTCAGAATTTTTATCGAAAAAACACAACAAAAAAGAATATTTGACGGGTTTGAAAAATAACCAAGATAATGAAAAAATGTATGGATGTATTTGACAGATTATGCCAGTTTTTAATTTAAATTTTTATACGTTTTTTGTCCTATGTGTATAATTGGATGCAACGAAAAATAGAAATATTGTGCATTTTTTCTTGAGATGACCTTATTTTTTTCTAAATGTATTTTGCATATAAATATGAAGAAAAAAATGAGAAAAAACCAACAAAAAAGTTTTGGAAAAATCCAAATCGAATTAAATATGATTTAAGAGGAAGTTTGCGATCAAGTTACAAAAGGAAGTCCAAAACTTTAGTCTTTGCAGTGGGCAGAACCAAAAAAAAAACATTATTTTATTCTGTCATGTGTTGTAGAAAATCGATGCGCAAAAAATAATGTGCTCACACATGATAATCCTTTTAAGATATAATAAATATCAATAGTGAAAAAAAATATGAAGCAAAGCATAATGAATGAATTCTAGAATACACTTTATTTTACCTCAATTATTTCTCTATGTTAAATCAAGCACATTGATAAATTTTCAGAAAAAAAAAACATTTTTTTTCAAATAAAAATATAGTCGAAAAACTTTTTTCTGAATCTCAATTTTGTTTATGATTTATAGAGTTTGCTGACACTCAAATTACTACGTTGCTTGGTTTGAGAAATCCTTTTTTGCGGAAAAAATTGTGGGAAAATTTGTGTGATGATTCAAATTCAGAGATCTGGAGAATTTTGTATTTTTAAAAAGAAATACATTCATGGAAAGAAATTAGTCATGTCTCGTTTGAGAATAAAAGTAAATTCAAGAGTTCCGATCAGTTAAAAGGAAAAAATATAAAAATCTGGAAATTCAAAACTTCATTTCCAAAACAGTAAGAAAGAAGATATTTTATGATCGGATTTGGAAATATCTTCTTAAAACTTGATTTCGTTTTGTGTTCACACAGATATTATTAAAAAAAAACAATTCCAGCCACCCTCGAAAAAAAGATCAAACTTGTGCAAAAAATCGGAACACAGAATTTCCGATTCCTCGGAAATATCTCATGTCAAGATTTTTCTCCCAAAAAAGTCCAATCTCCTCAGTTATTCTAACTCTATGAAAACACCTCCCACCCCCTACCGTACTTTTTTATCTCTAAAGTACATACTTTCCAGAAAAACAAAAAACAAGAAGGAAGGAAACGAAGATAATTTCGAAAATTTGGCAGTATATATGGATATGAACGTAAAGTACCTGTTTTCACAAATTTGCGTGTTGAAATATTCAACCTGCCACATGCTTCAGGTCGCCAAAATATTTTTGTTTATCTTTTTTCTGTGGCTTCGGACGAGAAAAGGAATATAGAGTGCAACAATGATCAAAAATGAAACATTGAAGGTGCCAAAGAAAAAATAACATTTCGGGAGAAAGGCTGAGGTGAACAAATTCAATTAGGAACTTGGGAAACGAGGAAAAAATGATGATTTTTTGGCGCATATTTTTAGAAACATCAAAAGTTTAAAAACGTTTTTTTGGTCTTTCAAGAGGGTAAAATCATCAAAGGAAATACTTGGTTTAAAAATGATCAAATTATTTGAAACATTTCAAAGATCCACTGTTATTGAAATGCAAAACTCTGAAATTACGGAAAAATATTGAAAATAGAATAATCGTGCAATATTTATCTTCTAGAAAACAAACTTTTTATGGTTTACAAGAAAGTTGTTTTTCTTGATCACCAAAACAAAACGTTTATTTAAAACCGATGATTAATTTTTACAACAGCAGACAAATGCTATGCATCATACGATGCTATGAGTATTCTAGAGCTGAAAATGGACAGAAAGGTTGGCTTGACACTTATCTTCAAAGTTTGATTATCAGAAAATAATCATCGTGTTGTTTCCAATGAAAATGGTTCATTTTTCAAACTTTCAAATCTTTTTCAAAGAAAATATATATTCTTAACCTCTACTCAAGCTTAACACAAAAATATGAATAATCAATATGCACTTTATATTCTTATCCAACAAAAAAGAAAAAATTGAATGAAGGCAAATTTGTGGCAGGTGTGAGACTTTTTATACATTTATGTAGTACGTATAGAAAATTAAAGATTATTCAATTTTGTTTGACTTTGAATTGACAGTTTGTCAGAGTGGATGTGTGTAATTTGCAAGAATTTAATTTGAAAATCCAACGATCATTAAAGGACCATTAAATAAATGAAAAAACATTTATCAAAAAATAGACTCGAAAAGAAAAAAATGAGAAAAATGTATTTAGATTTGTAATTATAATATTTTGTTTTTCTTTTTGAAAAAAAAAGAAGAAAATCTTTGTCTGAATAAAATAAAAAGTTAGAAAAAAAGAAAATGGAAATAGAGAAGGAACGAGAAGTCTTTTTGGGGTGTGATTAGAAATTCATGGTAAACTCATTCACTCTGAAGCTGCGCCAACTTTTTTATCATTGTTTGTGGTTTTGATGTGGAGAAAAGGAAGAGACTTATATTTTATTCTTCGCTAGAAAAAAATGAAAAGGAATAGTTGTTTAGAGATATGGAAAGTATAAATATTTCGGTAGATTCACACGCTCAAAACTCGAAGATCCAACTATAAACCTCATGAAAGCAGTGAAAAAGAATTCGGTCTGGGATGGTGAGCTTTTTTCGCGTGAGTTTTGGTCTTATTTGAACATTTTTGGAATAAAAAAGAGTGTAACTAATTTCTGGCTTGGGTTACGAAAAGTTTTATGATCAAAAATAACTTGCAACTTCCTCGATAATTTTCAAAATTTTGAATTTTCGATCGAAGATTACTATAGACACCTTATCTCTCTCCTTCATTCCAAGAAATGTTGATAATTGGATCAAAACCGAACTCACATATATCTTAAAACTCCACAAAAATCCCAGAATTCATTCACTCACCAAAGCTTCATCAACCAAACTCTAATCCAACAAAAACCGACTAGAAAAAAATTTAACATTCACATTCAGTACAAAATTAACACAACATTCATTTTGTTCCACTTTCTATTAGAGAGACTTTGAAAGTGTTCACAAATGAATTCCCTAGACCATATGGGGTTTCAAAATAACTTGGTCTTTTTTCAGCAGTTTCCTTTTGTCAAAAAATGACAATAATTATTTCCTGGATTTATTTTCATCTCCATTTCTTTCAGTATTTTCTAGTTATCATTC